TTTGCTTTGTGCCCTGCTCTCGCAGCGGACCTACCATTGTTGTATATAATGGTCCTCTCCTCTCAGTATGCTGTTCCTGTGTTAGTGCATGTCATTTCCTCATTCCCTTCCTCCCCCTCCCTCCCTCTCTCCCTGCTTGCCTTCCTCCCTCTCTTTTACTTTTCTTTTGTGAATGCAACCCCAGCACTCTCAAAGAACCCCGCTCTCACAGCGGCCCTGCCATTGCTTCAGTGTATTGGTATGTCATTTGAGTGTTCCTATTGTCAAAGCTCAATTTTGCGCTGAAATCTTTAATCTTTGATGGCATATTTCAACCATTTTACTTGTGCCATCATTTCGTGAACCCCTATATTTTCAGGCACAGGTAGTGTTGGAAGAATTGTTAAAGAACTTGGTTATACTATTATATCACTTGATCTTAAAAATGCTAGTATCAATGAGGATATTTTGAAATTTGATTATAATAAATTTGACAACGACTTTGATGTTACTTGGTCATCCCCGCCTTGCACTGAATACATCATAGCAAAACAAACAGGCACTAGAAAAATTGATGAAGCAAATGAAACAGTGAAGAAAGCTATTGACATAATAAACTATTTTGATCCAAATGTTTTCGTTGAAAACCCCCCAGACCGGACTTTTGAAGGAGCAAGAGTTTATGAAAAACTTCGTTTTTTGATGTTGATTATTGTAAAGATGGAATGGCATACAGAAAACGCACCAGACTTTGGACAAATATAAAAACTTGGACACCTAAACCATTATGTAAAAAGAACTGCGTACAAATGGAAGGGAATAGGCATAGGGAAACAGCACAAAGGGCACCTAGCAATAGGAAGGAAACATGGCCTGAAAACTTGAAAACTATACATTGTTTAATCAGAAGGAATTATACATAATCCCAGAAGAGTTGATCAGATAAATATTTATATAATGCTATAAACTAGATATTTACTATTCTAATTTCTTCTATGAGAGACCAATGGGGGATGTTCACCTGACCAATACTTAAAGGGATAGTAGCAATAGGTACTAAGGAGATGAAAGGTGATAAGTTTGAGAATGTGTATTGTCAGGTGTGTGAGTGCAATGTGAGGAAAAGTGGATGGGGGAAGCATAAGAAAACAAATACGCATATTGAGAATGCTCAGGGTGGAGGTGAGGAAGTGGAGAAGAGAAGGTGTGGACAGTGTGGATGTAATAAGGAATTGGGAATGTTTAATGAAAAGAATGCGACTTGTAATGTGTGCTTAGACAGATGGAAAAGGTGGGTGGGGAGGAATGTTGAGAAGAAGAAGGAGATTGATAGAGCTTGGAGAGAGGAGAATAGGGAGAAGAAAAACTAATATGATCGGGAATATAGTTTGATTGAGATGTGGTGTGAGGTATGTGCATGCAAGGTGAGAAAATGTAAGTGGAGAAGACATATTGAGAGTAGGAAGCATAGGATGGGTGGGGAGTGGGGATGATGGAAAAGATGGTGTGGGGGGAGATGGGGGAAGGGTGGTCAGGTGAACATCCCCCCTTGGTCTTCCCCTACTAACATATCTGAAAATGGAGAGAATATCGGACTCGCTCAATAGGATTACAGGATCACATCTTCTTCCGTGTTTCAACACCAGTAGAGGCCCCGATCCTTCCAATCATTCATGTGATCCATAGAAACGCATTCAAATCGCATGTTTAACTGTTGTGTTTGGCCCGAACTCCCCCACAACTGCGTCAGGCAACATCTATTTGATCGAGGGTCTTGTGGAAACTACTGATTTCTGCACTTATACAGTAATAGAGCTATATTGGACATAAACCCTTTTTTCATAAAAATATTTTAAAAAGTACAAAACAATAATACAATTCCATTTGATAAACTGATTTTTGTTTACACTATTTAATTTACAAATGCTTTTTGCAAAGTAAAAAAACTAAATTCAATTCTATTTAATAGAGTGACTCAGTGGCCTCCGGCTACTATTAAAAAAAATAAATAAATAAAAACTATCTATTTTTTTACTTATATAAATTGATCGACTTTACAAATGCCTTTGGTATTTTTATTTCTCAATAGAATTTTATTACAATTCTATTTAATAGAGTGACTCAGTGGCCTGCGGCTATTTAAAAAGTTTGAAAAAATATTTTTTCTGTACAAAAGCCTTTTGTAAAGTAAACATAGATAATTTGTAAAAATAAATCAAAATCAATTCATTTCTTTAAATTTACAAATGCCTTTTGTAAATAAACAAAAACAATACAATTCCATTAAATAGAGTGACTCAGTGGCATCCGGCTATTTAAAAAAATAATAAATTAAAAGAAATAGATAAAATCAAAAAAATAAATCAAAATCGAT